TTTTTTTTTTTTTTTTCAAATTTTGAGATAGTCTCACTAAGTTGTCCAGGCTGTCCTCAAACTTCTAATCCTCTTGCCTTAGCTTCCCCAGTTACTGGGGTTACAGGTGTTCACCACCATACCTGGCTAGGCTAGTCTTGTCTTGATAGATTCATTCTGTATTTGTGACCAAGGAAACCAGTTACTTTTTCTCAATTCTTTTTTTTTTTTTTTTTTTTTTGGTATTGGGATTGAACCTGGGGGTACTTAACCGTTACTGAGCCACATCCCCAGCCCTTTTTATATTTTATTTTTGAGACAGACTCTTGCTAAGTTGCAGGGCCTTGATAAATTGCTGAAGCTGACCTTGAACTCACAGTCCTCTTGCCTCAGCCTCCTGAGCCCCTGGGATTATAGGCATGCACCACCACACCCAGCATTTTTCTCAAATCTTAACCTTATGTCTTCTGGAGTTTGTACCTGAATAAAACTTTGGTGTTTTCTAAATAATTAGAATATAACTATTATAAACTGGAGCCCCAAAGATGCATTTCTTTATTTTTGGGACTCCAAGGTATTTCTTTTCACTTCATCTGAGTTCTCCAGAATACTGATTACAGATTTTGGTGGGGGTACAAGGTAGCCATGGTCCTTAGTTGCTTTCTTAAGTGCTTCTTTTTATTTTATTCCACAGGAAGGTTGAGGACCTTCAGTTCCGGGTTGAAGAAGAATCAATTACCAAAGGCGATCTTGAGGTAAACCCTCCCAGCTCCCTAAAATTAAAAAGGGTGCCTATATTGACAAATGTAGGTGACATACTGTGCCCGCTGACCTTTGTTGCTAGATGTTCAGGAGAGAATGGTCAGCACCCTAGCCTCTTGCCAAGTAGGGCTGTGAGCAAGGCTTTGTGGCCAAGGTGATGGTTCCTGTCCTGGAGCCTGAAGTACTTGTGTCCCAGTTCTTGTAGCAGAGTGACATGTTCACTTCTGTGCTCGTGTTTCAGAATTCAAAGCTGTGAATTGGATTTCATTAAGTCATAACCTGGCAGTGTGTTCTCAATTTAAAACTATCCTAAGTGAGACTATACCCGTTCCTCTAATTATGAGAAATGACATTTTTTGCGAGGCATTTTTGCCAGGTGACACCCCTGTAATCCTAGCAACTCAGAAGGCTGAGGTAGGAGGATTGCAAGTTCAAGGCCAGGCTCAGCAACTTAGCAAGACCCTGTCTATTTCAAAAAAATCAAAAGGACTGGGGATATAGCTCAATGGTAGAGTGTCACTGGGTTTAATCTCAAGTTCCAAATAAATAAATAATGATACTTTTTTTGTGGTGCTAGGGTAGAAATGGCATTTTAAAAGAGCGTTTTAAATTTCATCAGAATAGACCATAACAAGGACCATAACAAAGCCTTTGTCAGCTTTGTTTTTCAGTTGAGCAGGACAAATCTTTGTAACTCTATAAAAGAAATAAATTATATTGCAATCGTTTATTTATTTATTATTTTAAAGGAATCAGTCCTGGGGATGTGATTCGGTGGTAGAGCACTTGCCTAGCACATGGGAGGCCCTGGTTCGATTCCCAGCACCATATACAAAAAAAGAAAGTAGTTACCAGAGCGAAAAAGAAGAGCAAATTTGCATTTTAGCTTTTACTTTCGTGGCATATTTAAAATTCATACAAATTTTCCTTTACAGTCAGATATCTTGTCTCTTCTTCACAATTATTCATATTAATTTTGAATTAGACACCAGAATTAATTGGTTTTTGATGCTTTTCAAACCACTGCCAGGTATATGAATACAAATGTAAATTACCAACTTTTAAAAATTTTGCAAATGCTTTATTCTTTTAATCTGTAATATGTTTTAGTAAAAGCTGCACAGGTCAGTGTGGTTCTCAGAAGGTAACATTTTTGCCACCATCACGATTCTTGGGTCCATTGGCTGTCCACACTGGGTTTCAGGGGCCCTTTCCAACAGCAGCTCTGGTTTCTTTGGAAATAAATATTTTCACAGTCGGCAAAGAGCAAGGGGAACACTTTTTGAGTTCTAGTTTTACAGGATCCAGAACAGAATGGTTTTTAATAATTGTACAGTCGTCTTTCTCATCCATTTCATATACGGTCACATTCCTTCAGTTGACTTTTGTGTTGTTCTCATCCATTTAAAAACACCCCACAGTCTCATTAGAAGTTTCATGTCATCATCTAATTCACATGAATTGTAGCCTCTGGTATTTTGGGGAGGGTTGAGTTAAAATTATGTATCTGCACGAGGCTGGCATAGTCTGTCTGATAAACTTACTTGAAATTAATCAGTCATCTTGAAACTCTAACACATGTTGAAAACTTAGTTCAATCTCTTTTTTTGTTGTTGTTTACTTTTTTTTATTTTTTTTACTGATAGCAAAAGAGCCAGATTTCTGAAGATCCTGAGAATGTAAGAGGGCACTTCACTGTGTGGATATTTCCCTTGTTAACACAGATTGATTCCAGATTAAAATGCTTATTGATATACTCAAATACTAACTGCATAAGCTGACCTTGGGACATTGACCTTAATATTTCTGTGCATGTGGCTTTCAAAGCAATTATATTTGTGTCCTGAAGAAATTGTATGTAATGACTAAGCTCCACAAATTCACTTGCTTAATTAATAGGCAAGTGCTTGCTTTATAAAGAATATTTGATGAAAGGAAAAAAATTTGTCTGGAGGTCTGGCCTTCTTCACCTAATCCCTAATGTCTTCTAATTTTAGTAGAATTATTCTGCGAGGGCTGACGGCATAGGACACATTAGATGACTTGCTTGGGAAGTTGTCTGATCTTGTGGGTGAGCTCCAGCACTGATGCTTCACATGCGCTCCCCCTGCTGGCCAGCACCTTTAGTGCTATTGACAAGAAGTATAAACTCCCATTTGTAGCTACAGTATATTCCCTAGTTCTGAAACCAGAGGCCAGCATTCTTCAGTGACCACATTGTGTTCTAAATATACTGTCACTTGGACTGGGGATGCAGCTAAGTGGTAGAACGTTTGCATAGCATATATGGGCGCTGGGGTTTGATCCCCAGCACCCATCCTGCATACACACAAAATAAATTTACTATAAGGGAGCTTTTTCTAGTAGCAATGCCACTGGGCATGCTTTTTTTCTTCCTTCCTCTGATTGAACACTCAATATGGCTGGGAGTTGGCTGAGTGGCAAAGTGTCTACCTTGCCTTCTCAAAGCCCTAGGTTTGACCCCCCAGTTCCAAAAAAAGACCAAAAAAAAAAAAAAAAAAGATAAACACCCAATAGAACCTCACCAAAGTGGCATTCAGAGTGCTGCTTCTGGTGTACCCTGCCAGCTGTGAATCCAGTTAAAAAGAACCCCAAAACATTTTGCTTTGATTTACTGGCACAAGAGAGTGAAATTAAAGAATTATTTTTCTTCCTATCATCCTGAAATAGAATACTCGAGTCGGAGTGTTTTAAAAGCCTGGTTCTGAGGCGGTCCTTTCTGCGGAGCTGCTTCAGTACTCGAGTCTCCTCTCTGCTTCCAGAACAGGCTCAGCTGCTCTGCCCCCAGCATCGGTGTGCATGGGAACTGCCTCCTGCCTCTCTATGGCTTCTCATGGGCCTTGCTCTCCTTTTCAGTTCCCTGTCCCAGGACTCTCCCTGCAGGAAACCCTCCTGTGTGCTGAGAAAAGCCATCATTTTAAAGGGAGGCTTGTCCTGCTCCGTGTCCCATTTTTTCCACGGCCATGACATGGATGTGGATCACTGGCTTCCTGCTGCTAAGGGTGGAAGGCCATGGGCCCCCGGTCATCTATGTGCACGCCCTGTGGGAGGGGGCTGCGGCACTCAGCCGGGACATCTCCACATGGGGGCAATACCATAGTAAATGGCATGCAGTGATGATTTGCCCAGAGGACACTTGGGCAAGTGTCAAGGGGAGAAAGGGACTGTTGCCTTTTCTTTTTCCTTTGGATTTCAGTTCCTGAAGCTGATTCCAGTTCTAGAACTAGATTCTTGTCAAAGTAGATAAGCTGAATGACTCTGTGTGAGGCACATGTTGGACCAAGGTGGGGACTATCCAGGATATTTGGTTCTGATTTTTTTTTTTTTTGAAGATGAAGAGCTGAAGCAGGTGGAGATTTTAAAATATTTTTCACTCACCTTTTACATATCCATGATAGTTTGTTTATGCCTGATTCATAAGCAAAAGTGGCCTCGGAATGCCCTGGAGCCCCTAGAGTGCCGAGGGAGTGAGTGAAGGTGTTTGTAGCCTTGCCTCACATTCACCTCCTATGCCTACTCTGGACTACCTGGTGTCACTTGGTTAAGACTTGTCACTTTTCATTGCCTGTTAATTGTCAAGATTTATAGCTCAGGCCAGTAAGAACCACAAGATATTTAAGTTAATCCGAGTAACCAGCAGTTGCCAAGAGCAGCTTGTCAGTGGGCTTGGCCAGAGGATCAATCTGATGGTCCCTGGTGGGGGAGGTAGTTGGGAGAAGAGACACATTTGGACTGATACATGGATTGCTTCAAATTGGGCAAGATTCTGCTGCACTGGAGCCCACTGGCCAGTGGTTACCTTCTGTCCCCCTAGGTAATCTGAACACTGTTGAGTTTGTGGAGCTCCTGACTCATGCTGGGCTCTTCCCCAATCTTTGGTCTGAGTACAGTCTCCTGCCTTTGTGCTGTCACCATTTCATACCTCTCTGACTGCTTAGCTGGTAAAAACAACATCATTTTAGGATAAAAGTAAGCCCCTTTATAGTCTGAGCTGAACTATCCCCTGCTCTGAGCTGCTTTTTTGGCCTTTTTAGACTGAAGGGTAATCTTTGTAAAGATTGAGTTTTCTCAATCTTTACTGAGTTTTCTTTGTAAACCTGATTCCTTTTTTTTCTGTCCCTGGAAACAAACAGCCTTTGGAAAATCTTGCTGGAGGGAGGTTAGTTTTGGTGGCTCTGTCCCTGACCTCACACGAGAGCATGGCTGGGAGCCTCCCTCCGACCTTCTCACCCATCTGAGCAGAGCCTGCCACCGTGACTTCCTTAGCTCTAGTACTTGGATGCCCTTTACGAAGATTGGTTCTTGACCTTGATCATGGCACTTAGCCAGGTGCAAGGGTCTGCTCTGCAGACTTGCTGAACACCTGATGATTCATGACCTTGTCTTCTCCACAGGGAGGTGCTAGTGATGATCATGCTGAGAGTCAGTCTGCTTTTTGAAGTCAGGAAGTCAGTTACATACACGTTAATGTCAAGTAGCCAACATGGGGTGGAGGGAAGATGATAGTTTAGAGGACTATTAACTATTCTAATTTATGCTGATAAACTTATCAATATAACCTATTTTTGGCTGCATGCATCTGACACTTCATCTTGCCTCGTGTGTTTTCCATTTTTTTCTTTCTCAACAGACTCACTCATGTCCTCTGCCCACTGTTACCCTTCCGCGCACAGAACCCATCCTCACCTTCCTCCTCATTGCAGTTCCATTCTCTTCCTTCCTCCATGCCCTTTTTGTCCATCCTTTGGCAGAAGGTACTGATGGCTCAGCCTGCATGCCGCTCGCGCTCTCGTGCTGGCATGTCAGGTGGCACTGTTGTGTTCTCTTCCTCTTCCTTTTCACTAACAGACGCAGACCAAACTGGAGCATGCCCGCATTAAGGAGCTTGAACAGAGCCTGCTCTTTGAAAAGACCAAAGCTGACAAACTGCAGAGGGAGTTAGAAGACACTAGGGTAATGGCTTTCACTATCTAATGAAGCAGCCCATTGCGTGTGGGTGGTGGATGCCTCGAGTGGCCTTGCGGTTGGCCTGAGCCCTGACTCAGTGGTTCAGCCTGCTCAGGAGTTCATGAGCTTACAGCTGTGGTTAGGTATAGATGCTCATATCAGATCTTTTTTCAAAAGAATGAAGACCCCTTCCTTTTGTTAACTCAGCCAAAATCAAAATCAAGATCAAGATCAGAAACTTCATGAAGTATGTGGATACCCACCACCCTCCCTGAGTTTTTTGTATCAGTACCTTGGAGTTCACCTCTCTGGTTTGCCACAAGCATCAGTTGTCTTCTTGTTCTCATATTCTTAGTTACTGGATTTTCGAAATAATTGGTTATTCCCTGCCTCTTCCCTTAGCCTCAAGGAGGGGAAGGAAATTGGAACATTAGCTCTTTTTAATGAGAGTTAGGGTCTTTGACCCTGGTGATCTCTCTCTCCTTTTTTTTTTTTTCTTGATAGCTGATCTCTCTCTGCACCTCCCTCCTTCCCATCACCTGGGAGATTAAAGTCTTACAGTCGGCCAGGAGGGACATGCAAATGGGGAACAGGATGGCTTCTCACTGTCCCCAGCCCACTGTGTTTGACCCTTGGAGCCAGGGCATTCCTCATGTTTTAAGCTTATTTACATATTAAAGCACCTATAGGATGCTCACATCACGCCACATGCTGCTCTAAGTGCTTTGTAGGTTTTATTCAGTCTTGCCATGCCCCTAGGAAGTGGGTAGTAATATTGTTCCCATTTTACAGAGGAGGATACTAAGGCACAGAGGAATTAAGCAGCTTGCCCAGGGTCACACAGCTAATGGTAATAGTGGAGCCAGAATTTTCATCTAAGACATTTGGCTCCAGAGTCTGTACTCTTAACTATCAGAGGATATTATGAAAATAGTTTTGTGCTGAAAGATCTACAAATTAATCAGAATCACTTATATATAAAAATGTGTTTATATGTAACTTTTAAATCATGAATTTGACTGTGATTGGCCTTAACTTTAAAAATTCAAAAATTACTCTGTCACTGATCAAATTTGGTATCTTCATTTTTTCTTTCAAATTATTAGTATTTATGGGAATTTCTTTTGGTGAGAAATCACTGACCTAAAAATCCAGATAACCAAGTAATCTTCCTTCTCTTAATCTTAAGTTTTATTTTTTAAGAAAGAAAATATTCTCAACCTCAAAACTAAAGGTTTCTTATGTGAATTTGGTTTTCAGAAAAGAGAAAACAGTGGTAATTTGGTGCTGTTTCTTTGTACTGAGAGCCCAAGACTTGATCTGGGAAATACCAGGGACCAAGTGAGGTCCAGGCCCTTCAATATGATTTTGCTGAAGTCAGGATGGGTGGAATTTTTAATTTCTGAACTCCTCTCCTATATATCAGTATTGGCAGCAAACAACTTCAGTGCTTTCTTTTTTTGCTTTGGATAAGAAAGCATCCATTTACAGCATGGTTTATCCAGTTATTTCAAATTAAAGTGTACATGATTCCACAATTACGTTTTCTTTTTTTGGTGATACTGGGGACCAAACCTAGCACTTTGTGCATGCTAGGTATATCTTCTGTTATTGATCTTTGCTCTTGGCTTGCCAAGTGTGCAAATAACCAGTGACCCATGTAAGTTTATTATCACCTCCATTCCTTCTCAGGAGCACTTTAGAATTCCTCTTAACAAATTAGTCTGGTTCACAAACAGTGTGCCTGGTACTGTGAAAATATGAGGGAAGTATAGGACATGAAGGCTAGGGTAGAGCACTTGCCTGCCATGTGTGGAGTCCTGGGTTCCATCCCCACCCAAGGGGGGGAAAAATTATGGACTTCTGTGGCCTCAAGCTAGTGGGAGAGGCAGATACATAATTTTGACTTCCAACAGACTTTGGGAAATAAAATTAAAAATAGAAGTAGTGTTGTTCCATAAATGAAAATGCCATATAAGAAATAATCACACTCTTATTTATTCCTTTTCCACCTGTTCTTTACTTAGTATTCTCTCCATTTGACTGTTTTGTTATGACCAAGACAATTTGCCCTGTTGGATTTTAGGGTTTTATACTATAGACCTTGTAGTGGAGTTTATTACATGTTTTATTTCTTATTTTTAGGTACCAAATTCTTAGTCTGTCCCCTCCCCAGAAAATAGTATGAAAATAAATTAACACCTTTAACCTGAAGCATCTGTAACCATGAAGCTCGGCAGTTCCAGTCAGCTTTGAAATATCTAATGGCTGGTTGTGCACTTTTAGACTCGCATGCTTTCCTTTCCTTTTCTCTTGTGCACACTATCAGTATCACAACCCACACAGGTAGCCAGAGGAAATGAAAGGAACTTTTTTTTTTTTTTCTGTCCCAACAAAGGCAGTATGGGAGAGGAGTCTTAAATTCAGAGGAGTTTTGATCCTTGAAAGTTGGGACTCACTGATATTTTTAAATCACTTGTGTTCCCTTCTATTTCCCGGGTTAGTCAAATAATTTTTACATATGAAGCTACCATTTTCCACATAGTGCATGCCCTAAACTGCCTGTCTAATAGGTAGCAGGGAGAATCATTTTCTATGACTGAAAGGGCACAGGTTTAGACAGTGTTTTTCCTAGCTCTGGGGTGTTTATTTTAAGACCTTTAGAACTTAAATAGAACCCAAACATGTAGGAGTAGCTGGGAACTTGCATTTTTGACATACATTCCAGATGATTAATGGGTTGGGAACCACTGGGTTGGGGCAACCCGATTTGTACATCAAAATGCTGATAGAATTATGAAATCCAGAAAGGGGACCGTCTGTTAAGAGCCTAATGTATAATTAACTTACAGGTAAGCAATCATTCTTACTTTGTTCTTTTAAAAAAGTTAGAAAATTCTTTATTATGTAGTTGAAGCTTTTACTGTTCAGGTGATATGTTATTCATTGAAACATTTAGTAGATGATTTCAGACTTTTTATACTAGTGCTAATAGACTTGGAATATAAGCCACACATACAGAATTTGTGAATTTTCTGGTACCCATATTCATTTTTTAGTAAGCCACAGGAGAAATTAATTTTAATAACACATTTAAACCAATATATTCAAAATTTTATTATATAATCAGTTTAGCATATTGTTAACAAGATATTTTATATTCTTTTTCCATTGAGTCTTCAAATCCTGATGTGTCTTATCACCTCACCCCAAAGGAGCCGCATTCAGGGCTCAGTGCTGTGTATGGCCAGTGGCTTCCTCCTGGATGGCACAACTCCATAGCCACCAGCATTGGACAGAGGGGCATTTGTACAGCCTTGATGAAGTGGGGTGGAAAAAACTGGGCAAATTAAGAGCATTTGTTCCTCAGGGTCCTATACCTGAGAACTTCCAAAGTTCCTGTTAACTTATTATTAATTAGTGGGTACTTCTCTGATTTATGCTGCTTTAAAGGAAGAAAGTATTTTTGGAGTGACTTAAACTGATATTCATTTTAGATTTTTCTTCAGCGTATCAAAAGGTGGAAGTTTGCCAGAGATTATAATTTTGAATTGGTTCTACCAGAATTGGGCTTTTTAAGCCATTATCACAGTGGGAGATAAATTCACCTGTGGGCATTTGTAATGGTTTGTTGCCTGAGATAAGGTAGTTCTTACCATCTTCTGGAGTGAAGAAAATCATCAGTGATTTGTTATTTAAATCACCTCTTTTTCTTTGGAATGCTATTAATAGGTGGCTACAGTGTCAGAAAAGTCTCGGATAATGGAATTAGAGAAAGACCTAGCGCTGAGAGCACAGGAAGTGGTTGAGCTCCGAAGAAGGCTGGAGTCCAGTAAGCCTGCTGGGGACGTGGATATGTCACTTTCCCTTTTGCAAGAGATAAGCTCTTGGCAAGAAAAGTTAGAAGTCACACAGGCTGACCATCAGAGGGAAATAACTTCTCTGAAGGAGCACTTCGGGGTCCGGGAAGAGACATATCAGAAGGAGATAAAGGCTCTGCACACAGCCACAGAGAAACTTTCCAAAGAGAATGAGTCCTTGAGGAGCAAGCTTGACCATGCCAACAAGGAGAATTCAGATGTGATAGCTTTGTGGAAGTCCAAACTGGAGATGGCCATTGCGTCCCATCAGCAGGCGATGGAGGAACTGAAGGTGTCCTTTAGCAAAGGGGTTGGGACAGAGTCCGCTGAGTTTGCTGAATTAAAGACGCAAATAGAGAAACTGAGAGTAGATTACCAGCACGAAATAGAAAATTTACAGAACAAACAAGACTCTGAGCGGTCTGCGCACGCTAAAGAGATGGAAGCCCTAAGGTCTAAACTGATGAAGATCATTAAGGAAAAGGAGACCAGCCTGGAAACCATCCAGTCCAAACTGGACAGAGCAGAAGACCAGCACCTAGTAGAAATGGAAGAAGCCTTAAACAAATTGCAGGAAGCTGAAATAAAGGTAAAGGAGCTAGAGGTACTGCAAACCAAATACAGTGAACAAACCAAGGTCATTGATAATTTTACATCACAGCTAAAGGCTGCTGAAGAAAAGCTCTTGGATCTTGATGCACTTCGGAAAGCCAGTTCCGAAGGTAAATTGGATATGGAGAAACTTAGACAGCAGCTTGAGGCAGCTGGGAAACAGATTCAAAATTTAGAGATTGAAAAGAATGCTGAAAGTGACAAGGTTTGTATCGAAGTCCTCCATCTTTTTTTTTTTTTCCTTCTCTGTTGGTTTTTCTTATTTTGCATTGTATGTTACTTTTGAGTTGAGGTCATTCATCCCCCAAATTCCTTATTTAATGAAAACAAATTGTGTAGCGCTCCTAATTGAATATAATATATAGTGTCTTCTTAGGATCTCAAGTATGGTTTCATGTGAGGAGATTGAAGAAAATAACTGCCCAACTGGGTTAGTTTATTTTGGTTCCTTGAATCTGGGTACTTTATCTACCACTTCATCTCTAGACTATGATGTGAACTCCTGTGTAAGCTTAATTCTAATCTATACTCTGTTTAAATAGAGAACTCCCTGTGATGGTGGGGTTAGGTAGATGAGTGGATGGATAAGATAAAAACATAAGTTTGTCTCCTCCTTTCCCACCCACATCACTGCCTTGTCTGTAGGATTATGTATAAAAACAGTGTGAACTGAGTGCTTCTAGACTATTGTGAATGAACATTTGTGATAAATAACATTCACAGAAGGTCAAGAACTCAGAGCCCTTTGCATTGCCACTTAACGTTGCATTGAAGTTTTCTTCCATGCCACAAGCAAATGATCTGGCCCCTGCTTTTTTGGGGGGTGAGGGAAGGGGATTAAACCCAAGTGCACTTAACCACTGAGCTACATCCCCATCCCTCCCCCTTTGTAGTTGTAGATGGACAGCATGACTTTATTTTATTTATTTTTATGTGGGTGCTGAGGACTGAACCCAATGCCCCTCACGTGCTAGGCAAGCGCTCTACCACTGAGCCACAACCCAGCCCTTATTTTTTATTTTGAGATAGGGTCTCACTAAGTTGCTTAGGGCCTCTCTTAAGTTGCTGAGGCTACCTTGAACTTGTGATCCTCCTGCCTCAGGCTCTCATTACAGGAATGTGCCACTGCTCCTGGCCTGTCCCCTGCTTTTTTGAGGGAAGACAAGTATGCTTATGGCCAAGACATAGAAATTATTATGAACCATCAGCCTGCTCCATTTCTTACTAACTAGCCTTGTTACATGTCTTATTTATTTTTAAGGACTGCTTGAAGAGATCTTCCCAGTCCTACCATGGTTGAGGTGGTGGTACTGATGCTGAATGCTCTGAGCTTTTTGTGGGAGAAGCTGCTCCCAGAAAAGAAGGAAGGGTTGTCTTGGTTAAATGGGGAGAGGTGAGGACAGACAAACAGCAGATGTTGCTGTTACCTGTAGTTGAAGATGACAAAGCTGTGGAAATTTTCTCTAATCTCCTCATGTGGTTCCAAAACACCAATCAAAACACAAACTTTAATTAGAAGAGAATAAGTAACTAATGGTTGGGTCACTTTTTCACGTCAAGATTTAATGAAAGCCAAGTTCTGGTGGCTATTGTCTAGTGGATTTCCAAATTTGTTTTGAATGTATATTTATAAAAGTATGGAAAAATACAGACCACATGCACCCACCATCCCTATTTTAAGGTTTTTTGTTTTTTTCCTTGTTTTTTTTAATGATGGGGATGACCCAGGGCCTCCCGCATGCTGAGGTTAGGCTGTATTGCAGAGCTGCACTCTCAGCATTAGATTTTTTAACATCCAGGAAGTAAATTGGTCAAGGAGCTCATTTAGGAAGTAAGCATTGGCACTTTGTGCTTCGGATTTTGCTGGTACTCAATTTTAGGTGTGGGAAAATAGTGTATTTTGATAAAAAACAAAACAAAACAAAAAACCATGAGACAGATGATCATATCTAGAACTGATTATTTGAAAAGTCATTGGCGTCTTAGAATTTAAAAAAAAACCCTTTTTATTCCTTTCAGTTTTGTTTTGTTGTGTTTGTTTCTTTTAATTTTTTTTATATTTGTTTTGTTTTTTCCTTATCATTCTTTTTGTTTCCTTTTTGTTCATTTGCTTCTATACCATGTAACTCTGTGTGTTAGGCTAGTAGCATTGCCAGAGAGCTCCAGGGAAAAGAGCTAAAGCTTACTAACCTTGAGGAAAATTTGAGTGAAGTCAGTCGAGTGAAAGAGGCTTTGGAAAAAGAACTTCATATTTTGGTAAGTACCTATTGGGAACCTGATTCTCAGGATTTCTGGCCATTTCCTAATCTTGTTGTTTTTTAAATCTCCATAAAGAGAAAGATTAAGCTATTTCTTTTCTCCTTCAAAATGCCTATTTAAATTGAGTGTATTGGCTATTGGCTGATAAATTATCTTGAGGGGAATTGGATTAAACAAACTGGCAGTAACGGTAGGTATACTTTTCTTGTTCTCTTGCCTTTGGTAAAGCACTGCTTTGGAACGTTACTCACTGTTTAGCTTTGCTGAACCTGGAGCCCTGCCTAGTTGCAAACCCAGCATTTTAGGTTTCTTTGTTGGTGAGGCTATGTCTTGTGCTGTGCCTTCACCTCCTGCTTTGTGACCTTGCTGGGCAGCAGCAGCCCGGCTATCCTGGTCTTCAGTGCCCTCCACTGGTTACAACTTGCTGTATTCAACCTTAGGTAATTACTGTCTTTTTCATATTTCCTCTTAATTCCAGATTTTGAAACAGATTTTTTTTAACCTTTTCTCAATTTTTTCCCCCTCCTACTTTGCCTTCTACACCAAAAACCTGATCTTAATCAAAGCTGGTAATTGTGAACAGGGGCTGTGGTACTCATGTGTCATGGAAGAGGAAAGTCATAAACCTATGAAGAAACTAGACAAGAGAAATGGTAGCTACTCAGAGTCTGTTGTTCCAGCTCTTCCACAACCTACCTTCCTGTTCCCCACTTGCTATACTTCTCAGCTAACCACAGTGGTAAACAAAAAAGTATATGATTTGATTTTTTTTTTTTCCTTTTTGGTTACTATGGATTGAACTCAGGGTATTTTAACATTGACACATCAAGCCCTTTTTATTTTGAGAAAGTGTCTTGCTAAATTGCTGAGACTAAACTCAAACTTGGAATCCTCCTGCTTCAGCTTCCTGAGTTGCTGGGATTACAGGTGTGCACCACTGTGCCTGGCTATGATTTCTTATCTAAATGTTACAGATTTCTACTTTTTTTTTTTTTTTGAGTACCAGGGATTGAACTCGGGGGCACTCAACCACTGAGTCACACCCAGCCATTTTTTGTATTTTATTTAAAGACAGGTTCTCTCTGAGTTGCTTAGTTCCTCGAGGTTGCTGAGGCTGGTTTTGAACTTCAATCCTCTGCCTCAGCCTCTTGAGCTGCTGGGATCACATGTGTGTGTCTGCATGCCCGGCTCTACTTTTTTATGATAATTATACAGCCATACTTTTCAATGGTGGCTCCTATGCACATAAAATTAAATGAATTAAAAATAAAATTGAAATTTAATTCTGCTCTTACACCAGCTACATTTTCAGTGCTCAGTAGCTACATGTGGCTAAAGGCCAAAGAGCAGTTGAGAACATTTTCACCATCATACAAAGTTCTGTTGGACAGTTCTGGCATATAATTTTTTAGCTACGTTATGTGAAGAAGTTGACTTGGAAATCACCCTTTTGTGATTTGGTATCCTTTAAGAAAATGTTTTGAGTTCCCCATTTCTCTGTCCCCTTCCTACACTTTCAGGATGCCTTGGTTTTTTCCTAAATCAGAGTATCCCTCGATTTGCTCTTTGGAGAATACAAGCCACCTCAAGTCTGGCTTTGGGAATAACACAAACTAGCATTCTAAGGGTTTTGATGGACTTTGGTTTGTATGTCCATCTTTTAGTAATCTTAGTTAGAAATATTCATTTAAACATTCTCTGGGTAATCAGCTCAAAATTAATCTCAGGACAGCCAGGATAGTGGTTTTATCTTGGCTTGTTGTCATATGTAGAAAAGGAAACCTTGAACAAATTTCTGAGACTGATCTAGAATCAAGATGTTAGACCTGAATCTAGTTAAATTTTCTCAGGTTATTCTCAGAAATAAAGAAATCCAGAACTTTTTACTGTCTCAAGCAGACTTCTGAACAGAAAGTTGTTATTTGAGTGTAAGCAATGTGACAAAGCATGCGCAGGCACCACATGTGTATGCACCACATGTGTATGCCTATGTGTACATCTACATAAGTGGATAAGTTCCTACTCTTGGTACAGGGATGCACACACACTGCGCATGCACGGGCCACACATGCCTCACTTACTTGTATGTATACATGCACTTGTGCACGGTACACCTTTGGCAGTAATTGGTACTTGTATGTTTTAATGAAACAAAACCAGCAACACAATGTAGACAGTGTTGTGGTTGTAACTGATACCTTTTATCATTTGAAATCTCTCTTCTGATTATCTGGTTCTTTTTTTTTTTTTTTTTATTAAGAAAGAAAAATTTGCTGATGCTTCAGAGGAGGCAGCCTCTGTCCAGAGAAGTATGCAAGGTATGTCTCATGACAGTATGATCAGGTCACCTTAGGGCACGTCACACTGCCCCATTGGAGCTGGCCGCTCAGTACACCTTTTCCACAGTCTAATCTCATTGTCCCGGCATTGCCAAGCGTGCAGGAATGCGCGATTCTATTGGCTTCCCCAAGTTTCACATTCCCAAGTAATTCTTTTTTCTTTTGGCTTAAGGCTTAGTCCGTAATACAATGTAAGTATTCCTGGGAAAAGTGTTACCTTGTTTGAGGTTTAGTCATTGATAGCTTAATTGAGTTTTATTTGGAAGGAAGAAAGAGATGTGGGAAAAGGCTCGGGAGCCTGTCTGAGACGCACATGCGGGAGGGAGAGAGCCAGGCTTCTTCCGCAGCGTTCTGAGGGGACGCCTGGAGGTGGCGCACGCCTGTAATCCCAGCGGTTCGGGAGGCTGAGGCAGGAGGGTTGCGAATTCAAAGCCAGCCTCAGCAAAGCGAGATGCTAAGCAACTCAGTGAGACCCTCTCTCTAAATAAATACAAAATAGGGCTGGGGAATGTGGTTTCAGTGGTCGAGTGCCACTGAGTTCAATCCCCAGTATCTGCCCCCCCCCCCCCCACTACCCCCTCCAAACAAACAAACAAACAAACAAACAAACAAAAAACCTAAGGGGACATTTCAGCATTCCTGGGCTGTCAGATCTCACAGGCATATGATTTGATTGGCTTGTAAGATAGCCAAGCTCTAGATAGCCTATTAAATATGAAACATAGTAAACTTTTAACTTTATTCTAAATAGAAACTGTAAATAAATTGCACCAAAAGGAAGAAGAGTTTAACATGCTGTCTTCTGAATTGGAGAAGTTAAGAAAAAATTTATCAGGTAAGAAATCTCTGGTTACTAAGCAGTAAATACAGTAGGTTTCCAAGGATTCAAGATGGCTGTCGTGTGCCTCAGAGACATATCTGCTGTTGAGGCATGACCTCTTCCCGCATGGTGATATAATGGGTGGATACTTGTTTGCCATCTGTGACCCCAACAAGTCCTCTACTCTGTTCTCAAAAGAGCCCAGATCCACCACTCCCATCACTTCCGTGGCCAGCCTTGACCCCAGCCCAAACCATCTTTAACTGCTGACCACTTGCTCCTTGTTACTGCCCTTGCCTCAACTTGTGGTTCCCAATGCAGCAGCCAGAGAGTGAGCCTTTGAGTGCGAAGTCAGGTCCTATCACCTCTGTCTTCGAGACCTTCAGGCAGCTCCCATCTCACTCACTAAGAGCTGTGGTCCTTACCCCAGGCAGGCCCATTCCTCACGGTCTCGCCCTGGACTCCTCTACCCCTTGCTCCTTCCACCCTGGCCACCTGAGCCTTTGCTGATATTGGACCCAGCAGACATGTTCCTGCCTCTGAGTCTTTTGCACTTGACTTTCCTTCTTCTTTCATTTTGGTCTTTACTTAAATGTTCCCATCTCAGAGAGGCTTCATCTAGAATTTTAATCTTCCCAGCTCCATTCTCTGCTTTTAGTTTTCCCCTTAGCATTTATCTGTATTACATTATTATTTTCTTTATCTTGTTTAATGACTGTCATCTTTGCTGGAATGTGACTTTCTTGAGGGTGGGGCTTGCAGTATACAGTCACCCCCAGAACAAGGATGTACTCAGTAAATCTTTCTTGCTGTTAACAAGCAGTGCTTTTTTTTTTCCTATATATGTTTAGATATGGAGGCGAAATTTAGAGAACGAGATGAAAAAGAAGAGCAGTTGATAAAGGCAAAGGAAAAATTGGAAAATGACATTGCCGAAATAATGAAGATGTCAGGAGATAATTCTTCTCAGCTGACGAAAATGAATGATGAATTACGTCTGAAAGAAAGGTCTGTATGAACATGAAGAGAATGAGTGCCCGCTTTAGGTTACACTTTGCAGTAGGGTCTATACATGGAGGGACCACAGGGTTAGAATTGCTGTGTTTTAAGATTTGTGTGTCCTTTTCTTTTTTTCCTTCCCTGTGTGTGTGTGTGGGGGGGATGTGGTGTGGGGGGTTGAACCCAGAGCCTTGCGCATGCTAGGTGAGTGCTCTCCCACTGAGCTACACCCATAGACCTTTGTTCCTTTCTGTTACAACCTCAGTTTGTCCTGAATCAACTGTTTGTTTTTAAATTTTTACTATGGGTTTTACCTATATCACTTGTCGAGAGAGGATGGAGTTAACGAATACAATATTATTTATAGACTTTTTGGTGATTTGCAAAGAAATGGCAATAACATTTTTTACAGGCAGTTAAAGGTAGTTTTAACTTCAAAGTAATGATAGGTAACACTTAGTGAAGAGTTTACTTTGTGCCATGCACTATATTGATAGCTCATATGGAGTGCATTTTCTAATTCTCATAGTAACCTGATGAGGTGGGTATAGTATTTTTTTTTTTTTCCTTTCAATGCTAAGGATGAAACCCAGGGCCTCACACTTGCTTAATAAGAAATCTACCTCTGAGTTGAGCTATCTCCCTTTTTATTTTTTAAGACAGGGTCTCACTAGGTTGCCCAGACTGGCCTTGAACTTGTGATCCTCCTGCTTCAGCCTCCCGAGTAGCTGGAATTACAGGCCTACACTACTTGTTATTAATTATCTTATTATTCCTATTTTAAAGAAAGAGAAACTGAGAAACCCAGACTTCCTGGGGATGAGTAACTTGCCTGTGGTTTCAGATTTGGCTACCTGGACCCCTGTTGCTCTTGCTACATGGTACTTTCTCAGTCTTGAGGCTTAATGTCTGTTCTTGTCTTTGTTATGAGGTTCTTATTGCTTTGGGTTTTTTTTTTTTCTCCTACATAGGCTCTCAAAAATTTTTTTTTTTTTTAGAGAGAATATTTTAATATTTATGTTTTAGTTTTTCGACGGACACAACATCTTTGTTTGTATGTGGTGCTGAGGATCGAACCCGGGCCGCACGCATGCCAGGAGAGCGCGCTACCGCTTAGCCACATCCCCAGCTCTCAAAATGTTTTTTATACAGCAGAAACTTCTCGACAGTATTTTAGAACCATTAGAATTCTACTTCTCAAAGTGTTAAGACTTGGAAAATGACAGGTACACTATCCATTCACCCCCACACACTTCAGAGGTAGTGGTGGTTGGTAACCAGGCCTGCTGTGAGGGAGGTATGCTGCACAGGTGTTGCTTCCTGTGTTCTATGATTCATTCAGTAGCCCATCTTCCTGGAAGTGTTCATGCTTTCCATACATCCTTTTCCAGCCACACAGTTCTCTTTAAGCAAGAAATTCTAAGCTTTTTATTGCCGTTTTTGCATTCTTCCCAAGAGGTATTTTAATGAGTTTTTAGTAATCTAGTCTGCTGAAAAAATTCATTTTCTTTAACATGTTTATTTTTCACTATGATCTAAACATAAAATAATCTTCACATTGTGTTAGTTGTCACTCTAAATAAAATATTTAGAACTATCATAGTTGTTAAAATTATTTAAGCAGGTGATTTTTTTTAAATTTGCCTAGTTCAGGTATTAATTACTCATAAATTTTATAATCATTATACAATGGTTATTAATAGTATACTTCTAATGTAATTCTTAAATTTAAAACATTCTTATGACCTGGCACCTTGTATTAAAACTTTTTTCCAGATGTGTGGAAGAATTACAGCTAAAACTTTCAAAGGCCAATGAAAATGCGAGTTTTCTTCAGAAAAGTATTGGGGAAATAACTCTTAAAGCTGAACAGAGCCAGCAGGAAGCAGCCAGAAAGCACAAGGAAGAAAGGAAAGAATTGGAGGAAAAATTGTTGGACCTGGTAAGGAGAGAGCAAGTGGGACTGTTGGCTGGCACGGAGGGCAGGGTGATCCTGATTGGGCCAGATGACTCATTCCTTCCCTTGGTGTCTCTGCAGGAAAAGAAGGTGGAAATGAGCCACAACCAGTGTCAGGATCTGAAATCCAGGTATGAAAAGGCCAGTTCTGAGACGAAAACAAAGCATGAAGAAATTCTGCAGAACCTACAGAAGGTGCTGCTGGCCACGGAGGAGAAGCTGAAGGCTGCCCAGGAGGAGAACAGAGGCCTGATGCAGGAGATGGAGGACCTGAAAGTACAGGCTGACAAAGCCAAAGTAGGTCCTTGGGGTGTGCTGTCGTGGTGTTACAGCTCGCTTGAGTTCTGCACCAAGGCTGCAGTTGCTTTGAAAGCAGTGGCAGACGCGAAGCTTGAGCTGAACTTCACAAATGTTAACCTCTCAGGGTGGTGGATTGCATTTCAGGTCACTTCAAGCTTTTTGTATCAGGTACTCTTCCTTCTCAGGATGGAGATGGCTGCAGGTCTTTCCCCTGGATGTATTATGTAGCCATCACCACCCCCTTTGCTGCTTGTTCCTAGCTGGCACAAAGCATCCTATGCTGCCGGAGCTGTCTGCCTGCTTGTAGTAGTTTCCCTGGTGTGGGAAAAGTGTCTTCCTCTCCTCTTGGCTGAGCCTGCTGCCACCCTGCACTGGGGTTAGGAGAGGCAAGCTGCCGAAAAGCAGGAGGCAGAGCAAGGCCACACACGAGCCAGTAGTTAGAAATGGAGAGAGCCTTCTTGGACAAACAGAGCTCTCGCAGGAAGAATTAGAACTCTGGATGCCTGGCACAGGGGCACACACACCTCTAATCCCAGCTACTTGGGAGGCTGAGGCAGGAGGATCAAAATTTCAAAGCCAGCTTTAGCAACTTAGATTTGGTCTCAAAATAAAAATTTAAAAAAGGGACTGGAGATATAGCTAAGTAATAGAGCACTTGCCTAATGTGTGAGACCTGGGTTCAATTCAGGTTCAATTAACCAAAATTTTTTTTTTTTTTTAAAACCAAAAAAGGACGAATTCCAAGAGGGCTTATCAACAAGGAAGCTGGGTTCAAGGGCAGTGAGGAAACATCCTCTTAGTGAATAGAGTAGAACTTGATATATTGAATTTCAGTTTATGGTGTTCAGGTTGCCTCTCTGCTCCAAAATTTTCTTTGACGCTGGTAACTTAACTTCCTACTACAATTGAACTTTTTTATTGCTCAAAGAAAAGTAAATACTTATCTTTGTGTGTTTTTAAAGTATTAGATAAATGTTTATGTAGGAGTTTAGTAGAAATAAATTAGAAAATAACTTGAGACAAATCCTATGGAAAACTTCCTACTGATTAAGGTCGTATGACATAGTGCATGTCAAACATAAGAGGCAGCAGCTTCCCTCTGCCTATGCTGGCGGTAAGGCTCCCTCTTCCCCGTAACTCTCCAGTTTTATATGAGCCATTTAGCACTGGTTATGTCTCCCCATCTTTTGTTTGTAAGGTTCCTTTATTTTAAATATTTTTTAAAATATCTTTTTAGTTGTAGATGGACACAATGCCTTTATTTTATTTATTTTTATGTGGTGCTGAGGATCGATCCCAGGCCTCACATATGCTAGGCAAGTGCTCTGCCACTGAGCCATAGCCCCAGCCCTGTGCAGTTCCCTTGATCTGGACTCGACTTCGAGTTTTTTAGTGTTTCCTTTAACATGTGGTAGTCTGACCAAACCACAGCTTTTTTTTTTGTCTTAATATTTTTTAAAATTTTTGTTGTATTCATTGTGGTCAAATTATCTTATAAATCAATATATTTTAAAAAATCTACTCAATCACCGTAGCCTAGAAGTTGTTCTGTATTTAATAAATTACTGGGGCTAAGCTACACTCAGCCAAGTGACTGTCATTTTGGCAAAGTCATGCAGTTAGGTTGAAAAGCAGCAGTTTATTTTCCCTTGCTGTCGTCCTCTCCCTTGTATTTGGTTAATATATACTCATTTTTTGTAGTTTTTTGTATATTTAAATTTTTTCTACAAATCCTTTCTATAATAGCAATAATTAGATAATTGGAATGGTAAGAGAGAATCTTATGCCCTGATGCCAAAATCAAGCTACTCCTTTTATTTTCTAGGGAGTTATCAGGTTGTTTCAAAGAAAATCAGCGAGTAGATTTATAAGCATGTTGCAAAGCTAACTTTGCTTTGTATCATCCCTTTATGGGCTGTTTCTCTGGTTTCTTCCTCTTATTCACATAGTTTCTATTAAGTTTATGGTAGAAAATTTTAGACTTTTACCATGTAGGCTACATTAAGTTATTTGGGCTTGCATTTGTCTGCTTGATTTCATTTTTGTTTCCATTCTTTCCATCTTCTGTTTCTGTAGTCGCTAACTTATTTGTTAACATCAGCCAAAAAAGAAATTGAACTAATATCAGAAGAGCTGAGGGGTCTGAAATCAGAGAAGCAGCTTCTTGCTCAGGAGGGGAATGCTTTAAAGTTAGAAAAAGGTTCGCTTTTATCAAAGCTTGTAGAAGTGGAGGCCAAAATGACTTTGCTTCAGGAAGACCAGCAGAAACTGTGGTCAGTAAATGAAACTCTTAATTTAGAGAAGGAGAAAGTCTTAGAAGAAAAACAAGATGTTGAAAAGCTTTACCAGCAGGAACATCTCCATAAAGAATCTTTGGCTGTCGAGAGAGAGAAATTGCTTAAAGAAATCAATGTTGCACAGGAAGAACTCTTAAAGATACATAGGGAGAATGACTCTTTGCAAGCTTCCAAGGCAGGTGTGCAGGTGCTCATTGATGAGCTCCGGTTCCTCAAAGATACCATGACAGCTGAGTCGGAGAAGGCAAGGGCAGAAAAAAACCACCTGGAGGATCAGATCAAGAAGCTTACTGCAGAAAATCTCCTCTTAGTAAAAGATAAGGATGACATGATTCAGAAGCTTCAGAGCGCTTATGAGGAGCTAGTCAAGGATCAGAAAGCTTTGGTCCAGGAGATTGAAGAGCTCACGTCAGAGAAGAAGTCAGTGGTAGAGAAGAAGTCAAGCCTTGATAATGCATGCCTGGTCCTGAAAACAGAACGAGATGACCTCCTCCAGAGAAACAGAGACCTACAATTTGAGAAGGACGTGCTGCGTCAGGGTCAGGAAAAGCTGAATGCCAACTTGGAGGCTGCCCTCCAGGTCAAGCAGCTGCTCAGCACAGAGGCTGGGACGCTGCACACGCAGCTGGACTGTGCCAGCAAAGCACTGAGAAAGGCTGAGCTGGAGACAAGGCAACTTCAGGCCACCAACACAAGCCTCACAAAGCTCCTGGAGGAGATTAAGACCAGTCGAGCGATCACAGACTCTGAGTGCATCCAGCTTCTCCATGAGAAAGAGACTTTGGCAGCCTCTGAAAGGAAACTCTTGGCCGAGAAGGAGGAACTTCTAAGTGAAAATAGGAATATCGCTGAAAAATTCAGCAAGCGCTCGGAAGAAGCCACCCATGTTGAGAAGAGCCTGAATGAGAAGATCACATACCTAACTTCTGAGAAAGAGATGGCTTGTCAGAAAATAACTAAGCTTAAAAAGCAACAGGAGAGTCTCTTGCAAGAAAAATCAGCCCTGGAAATGCGAAATGGAGATTTACTTGCAGAGAGAGAAAGTTCCATCAAAGCCATAGGAGACCTTAAAAGGAAGTATGATCAAGAGGCTGCAAACAAAAGGATAATTGTGCATGAGAAGATGAAACTACTCAGCAGTGTTGATGCTCTGAAAAAAGAACTTCTAGAGAGAAAAAGGGAAAACCAGGAACTGGTGACCAGTAAGTGTGACCTTTCTTTGATGCTGGAAGAGGCTCAAAATGCCAAAGAGAATCTTGAAAAAGAACACACCAGTATGATGCAAGCAAAGGAGAATCTGAACGCTGAGCTTAAGACTTGTTGCTGTGAAAAGAACATTTTGCTGAGGGATGGCTTGAACCTGCAAGAAGAATGTCAGAAGTTAAACAAGACGATCCATGAAATGCAGCAGTCCTTAATGCTGGAAAAAGAGGCCAGAGTGAAGGAAAACGAGTCATCCTTGTATGAAAACAATCAACTCCACGGGAGAATGGTGCTCCTGCAGCAGGAGGTGGAGGAGTTAAGAGTGTGTACTGAACAGCTCCAGTCTGAGAAATTCACACTAATCCAAGAAAAGACTAAATTGGAGCAAAAGGTGGTAGAGATCATTAAAGAAAAGGAACTCTTGAGTGTGGAAACAGCTCAGCTCGCTGCCAACATAGAGACCCTGAAAAGCGATTTTGCTAACTTGTCCAAGTCCAAGTTAGAACTGCAGGAGCTGCACAGCTGCCTCTCCAAGATCCTGGGTGACCTCCGGCTGAACCATGAAGTGACTGTGGCTGAGAGAGCCCAAGTGATACAAGACAACAAGAACCTTCTGGCTGAGAAAAGAGAGCTGATGCTTAGAAAGGATGAGATCCTGAAGGAGAAGGAAAAGCTGGAAGAAAGCTACTTCATTCTCCAGAAGGAGATTAGCCAGCTGGCCCAAACCAATAGCCACATTTCAGCCAACCTCCTAGAATCTCAGAGTGAAAACCGTACTTTGAGGAAAGACAGGAGCAAGCTTACCCTTAAAATTAGAGAGCTTGAGACTCTTCATTCATTTACGGTAAAGTGAGAGGTTCAAGTATCAAGATCTCAGACTCCTTACTAACCCTGTACATTAACATTAGTGGCTTAGTTGATTTTTCCTTATTGTTATTTAGGCAAATCCACCTCATTAAATGGGTTGCTTTTATGTTTTCAGTTGTTCGTTAGGGTCTGCAAGGGCATTTATTTATTAAATGCCTGAGTGCAGACGTCTTACCCCATTTGGGAAGAAGTTGCAAACTGTGAATAAAAAGGATTTATTTTTTAATTTAAGGATAAACTTTGTGAAAAAACTAACTGTGGTTTTTAGAGTCTTAAGAACAATAATAGACTGGGCACAGTGGCACACACATGTAATCCTATCAACTCCAGAGCCTGAGGCAGGAGGATCATAAGCTTGAGACCAGCCTCAGCGACTTAGCAAGGCTCTATTTCAAATCAAAAAATTTAAAAAGGCTAGGGATGTAGCTCAGTGGATTCAGTCCCCAGTACCAGGGGAGAAAAAATAGGCAATGATAGAATGGGCATATATTAAACTATAGTATCTGCTGTTTGGCTCTTAACTGTTTCATTGGGTCTGTCCATTGGAGTTGAATGATTTCACTGAAATCTCCATGACCAAGGATGGGGCAGGTATAACGTGGAATGCCCATGAAATTCATTAGACTAAATGAGAATGTAAGTAAGTGCCTAGAAAGCTTTTAATTTATTTTTATGATTATTTTTATATTAGGCAGCTAAGAATTTACCTCCATTTGCATACATCTTTTTTTATTCACAGTCATAATATAAATTCATTATCCATAGTTTCTCTCATAGACTTTTCCATTAAACGCTTCTCATGAAACACTTCAGTTTTATGTTATAAATGCCCAAATAATTTTTATCTTGCATGGAAGCTTTCCAGCCTAAATTGAGTGATTTCTAAAGCTCCAAATTTGAAATAGCAAGAATAGTGTTTTCTGTTTTTTTTGGATTTTGTTTTTTGTTATTGTTGTGGTTGCTGGGTTTGATGGCACACACATCTGTAATCCCAGTGACTTGGGAGGCTAAGGCAGGAAGATGACAAGTTCAGCCTCAGCAATTTAACAAGACCCTAAGCAACTCAGCGAGACTGTCTCAAAATGAAATGGACTGGGAATGTGACTCTCTGGTAAAGTGCTCCTGGGTCAATCCTCAGTAACAAAAAAAAAAAAAAAAAAAAAAAGTTTTTAACTTAGAACAGTAAATGTAATTAGGAAAAATTCAGTTTTCTAGGGTTGTCATTCTTTACAGTCACTAAATAGCCTCTCAAATGTAGGTCAGAATGACGAAGGCGTGATAGAGTAACTAGGAACTGTCCCTGGAACGTGGAGATTGAGAGGAGTCCAGAAACATGGAAACGGTGTGAATGTCAACTTACTGAGGAGTGGCAGGGAAGGGTCTGACTTTGCTTCGGAGTGAAGGCCCTCTGCTTTCATGCTGGGTGGGGGCTGTCTCTAGGCGGTGTGTCTCAGCCACATAACACTCAGCTGCCAGTGCAGCGTTCCTCACGTTATCTTCTTGTGTTCAGGCTGCTCGGACTGCGGAAGATGCCATGCAGATAATGGAGCAGATGACCAAGGAGAAGTCCGAGACTCTGGCCTCCCTGGAGGACACCAGGCAAACAAACGCAAAACTGCAAAGCGAAGTAATCAGACTTAAATGGCTTACTGACCTCACGGGACGCCTGATCCTAACTCAGGATTGGGTGTTTTTTGGAAGCATGGCCTTCCAGAGGTTTGATCCCTGGAAGGTACACTCGAGGTTTGATGGAGTGTACACCAGGGCCATGAGGATGTTTGATAAAGTGTATCACTTTATTACTTATTTAGTAGGATGAACCTTTGAAAATTGAGGGGAAAACCTTGAGAGTGTGGTTTTTGGTTAATTACTTAGGGATAGCACCGGAGAGAGAGAAGGCTGATGACATTCCCTACTTTCAGATTCTTTTTTTTTTTTTTTTTAGTGGTGCTGGGGATTGAACCCAGGGCCTTGTGCATGTGAGGCAAGCCCTCTACCAACTGAGCTATACCCCCAGCCACTAGATTCTTTGTATTATGTCATATGCATTTTTTCTCCTCAATTCTCTCCCAACCTGGAGCCACTAAATTCCATTTTGCAGCCCCAAATTTAATGTAGGCCTTTTGTTGGCCAAGTTTAGTGCTGATTTGCTTTTGTGTCAGCTTGAATTAGTCATTTCTGAAGCTGAGACAAATTTGTGGTGTCAAGATATTTTGATTTTTATCCACAAGTAGCATTTCTCCTTGGCCCTTCTTTGATTCCCCTATTCCCACTCTTCTATCTTATACCAACCCATTCTTTCCTTGGAAAGCTGTTGTCTAAATATCTAGAGGACTGATTCACTAAAATGAGTGTGTGAAAGTCTGTACAACTCCAGATGCTTCTTAAAGTTACAGGCAGGTAAGATACTAAACCAAAAAAGCAAGAGAAGGGAATGAGCCAGGTGTTGTGGTATATGAATATAATCCAAGCTACTTGGGAGACTGAGGCAGGAGGATCACAAGTCTGTGTCAGCCTGGCAATTAGACCCTGTTGCTTAGTGGTATAGCACTTGCCTAGCATGTGTCAGGCCCTGGGTTCTATCCCCAGCACCTCAAAATAAAATAAATCACAGATGATAATCTGAATTAGAAGCTAGAGTATTTGAGAAAATTTGGGGGAATGTTTCTAGTCATTGAAGATGGACTCAGGGAAAATTGTGTCCTCCCATGGATTCTCCTCCCTGGATATACCTGTGGTAGCCAGATTACAAGACTGGATGAACCATTTCTTGTGACTTTTTTCCTTGTTCTGGAAATCTAGAATGTTAGAAGGTATTTAAAGGAAGGTACGGTTTTTGAAACTGGCAAGACATAGGGCCGGGAGTGTTACCCAGCGGTAGAGCACTTGGCTGGCAGCACAAGGCCCTGGATTTGATCCCCAGCATTGCAAAAACAAAAGCTAGCAAGACACTTTCCGGGATTTTTGGCAGGTGACATGGCAAAAGGAGTCTGACATTTCTCCCTGACTATGGGAAACAAGAACACAAGGAGAGAGCCAGTGTGGCCCATCCTTGCTGGTTCTCCCACCAGGGGTCCAGATCCAGGACCAGTCACATCCCCTCTGTTCCCTGACATACCTGGCTCTCCACCAGGGCTCAGGCTCTAAGCTGGCTGTGAGTGCTGTGGGCAGTGGTGGGGCTGAGGGATGAGAGTGCCTGCAGTCTTCCTGTATGCCTAGTCCCCTTTCAGGTTGAGGTTCAGATTGATGACTAATTTTTTTCCAATCTATATATATTTTGTTCAAATAAATGCTTTTGTAACAAGGACTGTGTAAATTTGGTACTGAAATTAGACTATGTCATATCATATGTTACTATTCTGTGGGGGAAGAAAAGGGATTTCATTTCAGTACAAGGAATAACCCTTGCTGATGTTGATGTGCTTTATAATTTCTTTCTTGTTTTTTAAAAATGAATCATACTTGAATAGTATGCTCAGTAATAATTACTGAGAATTGTGCACAAGATGAAGGAAAACTTTTGTTTTAATTTATGTGGCAAATCAGTTTGACATTTTGGCCAGGTGTACACAAAATGGTCGGACTCAATGTAAGGAGGATTGCAGTTTATAATAGACTCATCATTTGTGATTTTTTTTTTAATTGTAGATGGACACAATATCTTTGTTTTATTTATTTATTTTAATGTGGTGCTGAGGATCGAATCCAGTGCCTCACACGTGCGAGGCAAGTGCTCAACCACTGAGCTACAACCCCAGTCCCATTTGTGATTTCTTTACCCCGTGACACTTTTTTTTTTTTTGTAAGTGACTATTTTCATCCATTTTTAAAAATATGCATTTTCATGAATAATTTGTCTATACAACCATACCATTGGAAAATGAAAATATTTCACAAGACTTTTTCTTTTGGTCTTTAAGTTGGACACGCTTAAAGAAAACAACTTGAAAAATGTGGAAGAGCTGAACAAATCAAAAGAACTTCTGACTGTAGAGAATCAAAAAATGGAAGAATTCAGGAAAGAAATGTAAGTTAATCTCCTTGAGAGAAATCACATAACTTATTTTAAATTGCAAAAGTGAAAACAGTTATTTAGAAAATATTTGAAAAGCACATAAAGCAAAGATAGATACGCCCTTCTGTATCCCAAATACTATTTCACCCCCAGAGGCCACCTCAGTAACCAGGGGTAAGTCAGAATGACAGTTACATTAAAGGATCACAGGGGACCATGTGCTGCCTGATGAGTTAAGATGTTTTAGATTCAAATGTGACTTTGTAAAGCCAAAAAAACCCAAGTAGAATCAGACATTTAGAGTAGTCTGCTTACGTGACAGCCAGTCTTAAAGTTTTGAAGCATCAGATCCTTTATTTAGAAATCCCGCAAGATTTTTCTATAGAAAATAAACAGCAGCACGTCACTTGCAAGACTTTCAGTATCAAATTTGGCATGGACACTAAATGGCCAGCATTTTGGAGGACTTCAAATTAGGATGTGTCCTCAGCCTGCCCCTTGGCTTAGGCTGCCAGACCATTCATGTTTCCTTTGACACCAGCCTAGTCCTGGTTTTTCATGTTTGATTTATTGTAATTATCAGAGATTGGTGTTTACCTGGCATTTTAAGTGATGGTTACAGTGTAGATCTCATTTAGTCTTCTATTTGATGACTATACTGTATCAACTGTGTGAACCTAAAAATCTAAAAGTTAATCTGGTGGATATGTGAGTGTGTGTGTCCTTCATGCTAGGTACAAAAAGCTAGGAAGGACACACAGATAAATTAGATGTGAGTCCTGCCCTTTAAAGGTTTATATCACTTATTTCCAGTTCTAATAAAACAAACAGATCCATTCCTCAATACTCTTTGTTCATGAGGCTTGGATTAAACTAGTGCATGTCTAGTTCTTCTAGGAATTCTTCAGATTCTCCAAGGAATAGTTTGATCTACTCTCCTCACCTCAGGATCATGCACCTCAAGCTGTTGGTGACTGATTCCCCTCTTCAGCCTCAGGGTCGACAGTGTTCCTCTAGCTTGTGTTTCAGCAGTTCCCACCAATTCCATCCACACAGTTTATTACATGTTTATAATTGTGATTATGGCCATTGGGGGAGTCTTAAATTGCCAAAGTCAAGTAACACAAATAGACTATTGGACACTGTGACAGGAAAAAAGCCCTCGTTACAGTATGGCAATTTAATTGGATTCAAAGAAGGTGGGATTATTTAGTCTAGGATTTTCCCTTGTGACACAAGTAGTTATGTTAACCTTCAGCGTTTTGGAACACTGAGTTGACTTTAGTTCATTTGTGTCACACAGGCAGCTAGTGAGGGAGGATGTGAGCTGCAGAAGATTCCCTCACCAACCTCCCACTGCCATAGTCCCACTCCTGAGCTCTCTGGGCCACACTAGGTAATGGAGGGGGCAGGGCCAGAGTGGATCTACCCAAGAGAGCTCTTGGAATTTAGATAACATTCCTGCAATAGTATTTAGAAATATTGTAGTGGTTATTACGTTGGTCTAGTTTTTCAGTGAGATTACTCTTCAATGGTCAGAGTCCTAAGCCCTGTCATATCACCTACCTACCCCAATCAGTGTGGGGTTGGTTTCTCCCATTAAGATATAAATTTTGGGGCTGGGTATGGCTCAGTGGTAGAGCACTTCCCTAGCATGCAAGAGGCCCTGAGTTCCCTCCCTATATTCAAAAAGGAAGAAAGCAAAATTGTGTTTGTCTTTTTGCCCCTTTTGTATTGTTCTACTAATGACAATCTTGCTTCATGCCTGTGGAAGCAAAGGATTGGGGGTAAAAGACTTTGGCTCCAGCTGTTATCACAGTAACCGGAGCCTGTCCTCCCTATTGCTGCTCCCTGAGGAAGAAGAAGGTTCCAGTGCAGACTGAGCCCAGGCTGTCCCACCAGGCTTGAGGAGACTCCATCTTTTGTGCACCCTGTGAACCCCAATCTGATTGTGCTTCTGGGGCCAGATTGCAATTTTCCATAGATGCTGCAGGAGGGAGGCCCAGGGAGTCGGCTCAAACCCTGTCCCAATACTCATTGTTCCCTGCCCTAGACTTGGCCACACTTCAAGACCGTCTGCTATCAAAAGACCATGTAATGGGAGCAGCACTTCTCAAAGCAGTGTGGTGGTTTTGTGCCCCTTAGGTGCATTCCTCGGTGCTCAAAGTTGGAGAATGAGCAGCTGCCCGTTTCCCTGAGGTTGGACATGTCTTCCAAAGCTGTCCTGACATCTCTCTTCACCCGATAGGACTGAGCTCCCTAGAGAAAAAGGGTTGCCAGCTGGTTGTGGGGTGTGCACCTGTAATCCCAGTGACTCAGAGACTGAGGCAGAAGGATAGGAACTTTGAGACCAGCCTGGGCCCCCAGCCAGACCCTGTCTCAAAAGGAAAAAAGGTGGGGATTCCAGTGTAGATGGGAGTTCTCCCAGGACACTCTCCTATAGGACATTGGCCTATGGGAAACCAGCACTGGTAATTGAATGTTTTTCTCCTCTGTGCTATTTACTAGACTGATTTTAGGAAAACCCTTAATTTTAGCTAGGGAACGTGTTAATAAAATGGTCTCTCACTGATATGTAGCTTTGTATCTTAGAAAAAATGCTATAAGCAATATAATTTTTATTTAGTAATAAATTAGGATATATTTAGCATGAATAGATTTATGATGGATTCAAGAGAAAAAAGTTTACAAGTCAATATTAACAATGTTTATTTTGTTTCTCGGGTGTTTTTGTTTTTTTGGTGTTACTGGGGACTGAACACAGGGGCGCTTAACCACTGAGCCATATCCCCAACCTTTTTATTTTGAGACAGGATCTCACTAAGTTGCTGAAACTGGCTTTGAAATTGAGATCCTCCTGCCTCGGCCTGCTGGGATTACAGGCGAGCGCCGCCTCCCCTGGATGCCTGCCTCTCTGTTGTAAAGATGTAGAATCCTTTCTGTTTCAAGACATCTTGTCCCGCAGAAAAGTAGCTTCTTTAAAAATTGTTAGAAATGTTTTCAGAATCATGCCTGAGTATCTCCACAGTTAGGGATGTGGGAGTACCTTCTATGAAATTTATGTCTTTACTAGAGACGAACTAAATGGTGTCCTTTTATTTGAATCGCTTCCAATTCTTTTGGTTCTATGACTTAATGACATTATTTAGATCAAATCTTCTCTCAGTTTTATTTTATAATCTTAAAATATAAATATATATTATCCTTCCTGTGCTTTGAGGGTTAAATGAGAAAATGTACATGAAAGCATTTTTTAAGTTATAAAACTGTAAGTTCCATTTTCATAGATCAGTACTTGAGGATATTTTGACTTCAAGTATTTTAGATTACTTCTTTGACTCCTTGTTTTAATTTTCCTTACTGCAGCCTCTTAATATTAATATTAATATTTTTAAAGACAAAATCACTAGGCACAGTGGTGCATGCCTGTAATCCCAGCTACTCAGGAGACTGGGGCAGGGGGATCACAAGTTAGAGGCCCACCTGGGCAACTTACTGAGATTCTGTCTCAAAATAAAATGAAAAAAGCTGGAGCTGTGGCTCAGTGGTAGAGCACTTATCTAACATGTGCAAGGCTTTGGGTTCAATTTCCAGTACCAAAAAAAAAAAAAAAAGTGGGGGGGGGATTTTAAGAGGGAAGAAAGAGAGGAGCAGCACAGATATTACTGTGATGTGACAGGCACACAAATGCTGAGACCAGATGGCCTCTTGAAGGTAGTGACCACCTGAGAAATGCAATGTTTGGCTTATGATTTAATCAGAAGTAAAATCTTCCGATTTATCAAGGATTTTTGGACTTTGGCCAGATGAACTTCAGTGTGTGGTGTGGGCATATTTATATATGTGTGTGTGAGTGAATGATACAGCAATAGATAGATCCATAATTAAAATCATGCCTTCTAGCTTTTGAGTCACTAATTACCTGAAACTAAAATTCCTTCTCACTTTTTCCTCATTTTCTAAATATCTCTATAGGTCTAATTTAGTGTTCTAAGAGAATTTTTGTGTAGATTGATTCCCCCAAATCTTCATGAAGTCCTCACAGTATGCATATTATAGGTAGGTGGAGAATTAGAAACCGAGAGATTGAAGATGCCAAGCACTGCCACCCATTAGACAATTGAAGTTAAAAATAGATGTGTTCATGCATCAGCAGATGGATTCATGCCCAGATGACTGGATTCAGAATTCAGCCACATATGACAGCTTTTGAGTGGAGATTCACCAGCACAGGCTTATTTAAAATTCACAATTGCATCAAAACCTTCCATGGCACAAAATTAATACCCAGCAATCAAGTAAAATATTTTGAATATCCATGTGTTGAGGATAATAATTTAGAATGTGTATTTTGGTTTAATTTTAATAATGGGAAGATATTTACTAAACGTGCCTTCCTTGTAAATACCTGCCTAAGTAAAAATACTTGTGGTATGGGTTAGCAGGCTATATTATATTTTAATTTGCCTTAAAAAAATTATTAGCATTAATGAAAAGAATACCATGAAATAAAATACCTAATGCTTAATTGGGAAGCCATTTCCTTAGGCATTTCATTTCTAGGTGTCCTAAAAGTCTGTTCAGATTCACATCAGCGCTTGACTCTGACAGTTACTGGCAAATGGAACCATTAGATTTTTATGACTAACAGAGAAAAACAGATTATAGATCTGTGCAGGTAGAACAGAAAGCCTTGGCAGCAAATTAAACCACTTTATTAACATTAATGGACATATTCCTAAAGATGGGAGGACTATACTGACCTTCTCATTTATTTCATTGCAAAATTCCCTTTCATGTGGAATAAGTGTGATTGGTGGGAGAATGGCTATAGTGTTTATTAGGTTTTAAAAAACAGTAATTGTGGACAGCTGCCCTCCTTTTAGAGGTTAAAGCCATGAGGCCCCTCCTGTGTGTAGATAACACTGTCTCCTGTTATTATAGAACCTATGGGGCACGTGACCCAGGTCTATTTTCCTCAGTGCTTATGAAGCTGGTTGTCTCCCACAGTTTCCTTGCCTGTCTTGTTTCTATGGTAACCCTGCACTCACTGTCCTTGCAGAGAAACCCTAAAGCAGGCGGCAGCTCAGAAGTCCCAGCAGCTTTCAGCACTGCAAGAAGAGAACGTCAAACTTGCCGAGGAGCTGGGGAGAAGCAGGGACGAAGTCACAAGTCATCAAAAGGTCAGTGGACCTTTGGTGGGGTTTCTGGATCTGCTGTGCTGACATCTGCTGCTGTTGCAGTGCTCCTGGAGGCTGCTCAAGTCTCCTCAGTGTGGTTGCGCCCATTTCAAGTGGGATTTCCGGCTACCTGTGCTGTGTGTCTCCTTGCTTTCAAGTGTGCTGTGTAGAATTCAGGTCAGAAGTGAACTGACAGATTCATTAACAAAAATAAAATAAAAGAACACAAGACACTTGATCTCGCAAGCAAGTAGGAAAAAAGGTCCTTATTAGGTGATTGTAGCAAAGCATTTAAATGGAAGGGGACAATATCTTCTTACCATTGCTTGGATTTCAAAATTATTTTTCTCAAGATTTTTTTTCATCAGAATTGGTTTTAAGGAAGCAGACTTTAAGAATATGGATTTTGGGGCTGGGGCTATAGTTCAGTGGTAGAGGGCCTGCCTCACATGTGTGAGGCATTGGTTCGATCCTTAGCACCACATTAAAAAATAAATGAATAAAGATATCGTGTCCGGGGCTGGGGATGTGGCTCAAGCGGTAGCGCGCTCGCCTGGCATGCACAGGGCACTGGGTTCGATCCTCAGCACCACATAAAAAAAAAAATAAAATAAATAAAGATGTTGTGTCCACCGAGAACTAAAAAATAAATACTGAAAAATTCTCTCTCTCCTTCTCTCTCTCTCTCTCTTAAAAAAAAAAAAAAAAAGATATTGTGTCCATCTACAACTTAAAAAAAAAAGAATTTGGATTTTTGTGGGAGAGTTGACAGTTGATTTTAAATAGAACTCTGCTTTTCAAGAATTGTTCAAGCATTTCCTAATGAAATTGAATATATGTGCACTAGTGTGCATTTGATATATATATATATATAAAAAATGGATATATATAGCCATTTGCTTCTATATTTAAATTACAGAGGTTCCTGACAGAAGTTGATTAGCCATGGGAACAAAATTGATTATAAAGGATGCTGTAGTCTGGGCAGAGATTGTGGTTCATGGTATGTGGGAGACACTGGGTTTGATCCTCAGCACCAGGGTATTGTGTTCATCTACAATTAAAAGTATTAAGAAAAAAAAAAGGATGCTGTATTCTGCTTTGTATTCCTTGCTAACAGTCAAATCAGAGTGTTGAATTGTTAGTCACTTCTGCTGTCAGAGCAGGAGCTTTAAATTTTTTAGGAGACTTTTTTTGTATAGTCATTCATTCTTACTTTGATAATACAAAGGGAAAAAGAATTTTTTCCCCATTGTGTCTTGCAAACGTTAATTTTCACTTGGGATGGAGGAGTTTGGGGTCATTGTATTGAGTGCTCATTGATACAGTGCAGTTTGTGGTGAAAACATTTTTAGGAGAGTTGATTTCAGACTTTAAAGGAGTCACGGGGTCTCCTGAGCTCCTTCCAGCACTAAGTCCTTTAAAGTCTTCATTATAGCATTCCACAGTTTTCTCGTGTCATGAAAGAAGTGCCATGTCTCTCCAGAGCCCAAGATGGTGATGCTGGTGCTGGTGCTGGTGATAGTAGCTTTACAGGCTCTTACTGTGTGGCAGGCACAAATAGATGACAGCTATCATCTCAGTCATTACCACAATTCTGCATTGGGGCACTAATGTTATCCTGTTCATGAAAGAGGAAATGGAACCACAGGGAACATAAGCATTTGCTCAATATTATTCAGCAAATAGTTTCAAGAGATACATGTCATCTTCTGATTTGGATCTGGAAAAGAATCAAAGTGTGTTGACTATGTAGAGTCAGTGCATGTCTTTTGATCAGCGTGTGAGAAATTGGAGTTCATGAAAAATAGTAGCCCTTTAACCAGCAGAGGTTCTTTTTTTCCTGGCACTAGCTAGAACATCTAAAACATTTGACATTTAAATACCAGTGTGTCCACCAAGACTTGGAAGAGAAGGATTTCAGTCAAGTGTTGAGTCTGTTCCCTTCTCCTTTTTTTTTTTCTCATTTCATTTAATATCTTGTTAGAAAGAATAGATTCCATAAATCTGAGAACAAGAGATCATCCTCTTATGTTTTGAGCTTAACTGGACTGACAGATTGCTTGTCTCTGTTGCTTAGTGCTAGAAGGAGCTCAGGAGACCCCATGACTCCTTGGACAGAGGTTTCCAGAGCTCCTTTGCATCCTGGTAGCTCTATTCTCTTCACAAGAGGGGTTTCAGGTAGCTTCATACTGAAAAGGTTTTGTGATTAATAATTTGAAAATCAGTTATTTTGCAGGGTGTTAGAAAATAACACCTATAAGGACCAGCTAAGAAAGTGACTTCCTTCTGTAATATTTAACTCAAAAAAGACAGGTGGGTGTGAAATAAAACAATAGCTTTGATGATAGAGAATGAGGAGAGTTATACTGATTACCAGAAACCATTATAGATTATTATTGATACAAATATATTTCAAAAGAGTAGAGAGAATCTCCTGTTTATTTATTAATCTTTTATCTTTTTCATTGGTGCATTATACATATTAGTGAGATCCATTGTTACATACTCATATATGCACATAACGTAATTTGGTCAAGTTCATTCCCCAGTTCCTCCCCTTTCCTTCTCCTGGTCCCCTTCCTCTATTCATTTGATATCCTTTCTGTTTTCAAGAGTTACCTTGCCCTTTTCCCCCTATTTTCTCTCTAACCTCCACATAGAAGAGAAAACATGACCTTTGACTTTCCAAGTGAGACTCATTCACTTAAAATAACTTAGAAGCACCCTTAGTTTATAGAAAATTAATTCATTAGGCTCTATACTTTCAAAACGTTTGTGTGTGTGTGTGTGTGTGTGTGTGTGTGTGTGTGTGTTGCTGAGGATTGAAGCCAGAGCCTCATGTGTGCTAGGCAAGCACTGTACCACTGAGCTACATCCAAAGCAGTTTTTATTTTGTTTTGAGACAGGGTCTTGCTGAGTTGACCAGGCTGTCCTTGAACTTGCAATCCTCCTGCCTGAGGAGCTAGGATTACATGCCCAGCATCTGCAGAGCCCAGAGTTCAATCCCTAGTATCATGCCAAAAAACAAGTAAAGAAACAAAAAGTTGGAGAGTGATAGTAGCCATTGTTGTTCTGCATTAGAAACCTCATGTGACCTGACTGCCGAGGAGCTACGTAAAGGGGGTACTTTTGCAATTGGAGGGGAATCAACTGCTTATCCATAGTCCTCTGGAAAGGAGCTGGCTAAGCCAGAAACAATCCACCTGTGTGCATTCTGTGTGGCCTGCTTTCTCTATCAGACAGTTCTCTCCAGCTAAAACTTTTTTGGTGGGGTGGCGGGGAAGTACTGGGGATTGAACCCCAGGGCTCTCTACCCACAGAGATGTATCCCCAGACCTTCTTTTGTGTGTGGGGGGGTGTTTCTTGTTTTGTTTGTTTTTTATACCAGGGATTGAGCCCAGGGGCACTTAACCATTAAGCCACATCCATAACCCTTTTTTTAAAAAAGGAATTTTTTGTAGTTATAAATGGACAGCATGCCTTTATTTTATTTGCTTATTTTTTTGTATGTGGTGTTAAGGATCGGACCCAGTGCCTCACCCATGCTAGGCAAGTGCTCTGCCACTGAGCTACAGCCCCAGCCCCTCCAAAGCCTTTTTTATATTTTATTTTGAGACACAGTCTAATTAAATTGCCAAGGCTGGCCTGGAACTTGTGATCCTCTTGCCTTGGCCTCCCAAGTTGCTAGGATTTCAGGCATGCACCACTGTTCCTGGCTCCAACTAAAATTAGGTCTCCTTTCCAAGTTGGCTTTTTCATTTTAGGTGGAGAGAAGGGCAATAGCCTGGATCAGATAGGATTATGAGCAGCAGAAGTGTTTGATATATCTGGTATCAACAGTGACAGCAGTCTTTTAGTGTTGCACAGAGTGTGTTGTCTTTTAAGAGAGGATATATTAGATTGAACTGTATGAAATTATTTTCTTCAGCAGCCTAACAGTAGCCTAACTTAGCCCCTCTTGATGACTCCAAAGTGATGAAGCCTGAATTAGGGTTGCCCTGATTGTTTGCTGCCCATGTTTCTTGTCACCTCAGGTTGGTTTGTGTGTATGTGTACATGTGTGCTTATGTGCGTGTGCGTGTGTGTGTGTGATAAAATACACGTAAAAGTTGCTTTTAATCGTTTTACGGTGTATAGTTCAGTGGCGTTTAATTGAGCATTTATAGTGTTGTGTGGCCACCACTTCTATCTAGTTCCAACACATTTTCATCACCCCAAGAAGACCCTGTGCCATGAGGCAGGCCCTTCTCATTCTGCTTCCCTGGCCTCTGGCAGCCAGTTTTTTGTTTCTGAGGATTGGCCTCTTCTGGACATTTCACAGAAATAGGAGCACATGCTGTGTGGTCCTTCGTGACTGGATTCCTTCACAGAGCATGTTTTGCATTTATCCAGATTGAAGCATGTGTCAGTCCCTACTTTGGTTAGGAGTGGGTGCTCCCTTCCTTCCCAGGGCGGGATCGTGTTCTGCTGGATGGTGTACCACAGTTTTCTCATCCTCTTGGTCAGTGTTGTACGCCTCCTTTCTCCACTCAGCCTGTCACCAGTCCCTGTTGCCTGCAGCCCATCCTACAGCAGCTGCCTCTAGAATCTTATAGAGGACAGGAAATCCTCCTTTCCTTAACAGCAGTTCTAAATCTTGCCACACTGTTCACACTTACCATCTTATACTCTTTTCTTTAAGAGAGGAATCTGGTTTTTGTCTTTATTTTTCACCTCCCATTTCCCATCCCCTGCTGCCTGCTCTTAGCCACCAGTGCACTCCAGAAATGGCTCTGACTAAAGTCATCACTTAGTAATGGCAAAATTGAGTGGCTTCCTTTCTGCTCTCTCTGAGCCCTTGGCCTTGCCACCGATGTACCCCAGCTTTCCTGCTGACTCCACCCCTGTGCCTGCTTCTCTGCTCGCCCTGCACTCCTGGCTGCCAGCCTTCACCTGTGGGCATTTCTGTCTGTCCTCCCCTTCTTTGGTCCCGTATTGTCCCATCCTAGATGTCACTGCCT